CAAGTCTAAGAGGCCTATTTTAAATCAACTGTTTCAAAAACAACTCTTTAACCCTAGCCAGTGCTGAACCTAGCTTCCAGCTGGTGAGACATTTTGAGTATAATCTTGGAAAACTAAAGAAGCAAATCTCTTCGTCAAAGCTAACAGCCATCACAAACGAGATTTTGGTATTAATGCCAACGACAAAATCAAAGTTGTAAACATGGTAAAGGAAACTGTAACAAGTGACTTAGAAAGGACGGTGAACACGATCAACTCATTTAAGACATTTTGAGGTTTCAATAAAACACTAAGAGAAAGACAAGGAAGCCAGCTTCTTTTTTTGAGAAAGAAGCTCAACGAACCTTTCCATAAGTAGATTCTGCTTTCTGTATTGCTGAAGTTATATGCTCAAGCCTTTCCGTCTCTTCAGAAATGTCGCGCTCAATTGATTCAAGTCTCAGTCTGATACGCTCCAACTGCAAAACGATGTAAATACGACACAAGACAAGAGATTTAACGACCAAAAGGGAAATATGTGAAAAAATTGAGGAATAGAAGAAATATAAGACAGGAAATTAAAGATCCCTAAATACCTGTTCGACATGCAACTGTCGTTCAGACTTTAAAGCTGCCAAATCTTGTTCTCGCTTTCTCCTGTGTTCACGAAGGTTTTCTAAACCTATAAAAAGAGGGAGAACGGAAAGAGTAAATTTCAACCTGAGCAACCTTTTCCTTGAAGTGACATTTAAAATATAGCTGAAACCCTAATACGTAACAAGTTAAGAAAACCCGTTAATTAATCAATTTAAACTAGAAGAAAACTGTTCTGCCCTAACCTTTAACCGTTTTAACAAATGAAAATAACGCTTCTTTAAAGCACTTAAAAAACTATAATTCATTAAAAAGTAATAAAGAGGCTAGATGTTCCACTAACATCTTATTATGCCATCTGTAGATTCCCCTGGAATTCGCGACATTATCTGTTAACTATATCCATAAAACACGTTAAGCAGCTGACAAGTTAGTTGGTTACCAGAAGCTGAAATAAAACAGCAAATATACCCAGTTTTCCACTGAGAAAAACAAGCCAGAATTGTGCACAAAAACACTACAGACCAATTAGTTAATTAACTTTCTTTGCCCGTACATTGAATTCCCAGATTTTTAGCATTTAGTGCTTTTGAGTCTGCACTATTAAGTCCTCACAGGCTCAGGCAAAATACGTGTTCCTTCTTCACCTCTTGAATTTTGTAATGGAGAAACCAGGTCTGCATAATCCATTATCTACGAATTACATTTGAGATGTTCTTTGGCCGGCCCTCTTAAATCAGTTTCTACAGGGATTAAACTCATCGATCGGCCTAACAGCCTAAACGTCCTTCCCTCTTTAAATGCCTAACAGCTGAGACACACTAACCTAACTTTTTAAGTCACGTGAACGAACACATAATAAAACGTGAAAAAAGCTAATAATGCGGCTTCACCACTCAGAGAAGACTGACCAATGCAAATAGTAACAAGATTACGTTGTACATCAGCTAAGTAATAGGAAGCTGATGAGCAAGGCTAAATAATAACAAATTAAGAGCCCGTAAAACCTATAAAACTTACACCTGGCTGCCATTCATTTTATGATTGGAGAGATAATCTTTTAAAAAAATTTATCCTTTATGGAACTAAATAAGGCAATGAAGAATCCAAACTGACGGCTTCTACCTCAATAATTACTAGAAAGAAAACTTCTACATCATCTAACTGCAAGTATTACAGTTTTCCATGTCCAGTTAGCCGCGCATATAGCCGATCTAATAAATGGTGAATATGAAACTGTTTTGCAGTCTCAGTTCTCCTCCGGTCCGACTATGGATGACTGATTTACCTAGTACTATTCATTTTGTATTATTTTGCTAACTGTTGTAATACTTAATTAGTGATCGATTAACTTAACGCTCAAGCGTAAGAACTAAAACACTGACATTTCGTTACCGGGCCACTTTTCTCACCGACCTTCCCAGAGGGAACCCATGAAACTGGGGCATGAGGAAGCTACATCCCAGAGCCAATTACTACATTAAATAAAACCATGAACAGCAAAGCAACTGGAGAAAATGAAAAAAGCCTTTACGGTCATTTGCTGGCAACTTCTGTTATATTACAAGACGAATAGCAGGTAAATGTCTCTAAAACCTCAATTTCATAAATATCTTTAAACTAACCGTCAATGATAAGAAGTAGAGGAGTCGTGTGCCTTTGAATAAGTCCGGTAAAAGGAAAGCCAAACTCCTAAAAGTTTTAAAGCTACAAGTGCAAAAAAAAATTTGTTAATTTAGTTGAACCAGGAGGCCAACATGTAGATGACTGACTGCATGAAAACGCGTAAATAAAAATGACGCCGTTTAAAGTTGAATCCTTAAGAGTAAAAAAGGAAATACACACGTTCGTAAAAGTGCATAAGACAATGACTACGAATCAAATATTCATCAGATTACTGGGAGAATGAAAAATAATAAGTGTTTATTTACAAAGAACTGTATAAAGCGTACCTGAGCCTTGCAAATTTCAGAGCTTAAATCCTGATATTCTCCATCTCTCCTTTCCGTTAGTATTTAGCAAAAAAAAAAAAAATTATAACTGTCAACGAGCATATTTTGAACCTTTGTCTATGATTCTCTGGTAGGCTATAAAAAGTCTGTAATCTCAGTGGCTAAGTTTCAATAAATTAAAGTTCTATCCAGTGTGAAGGGGAAAAAACTGGCTTTTAATCAACCCGTTACATGAATTTGTTTACCTATAAAAATAAGTAGTTTTAAAATAAGTGGAAAAATTGTTGCGATGGCATTGTTAAAGATTTATAAAACATACGTGATTTCAAAAACCAGATTACAACCAAAAAAAAAA